TCCAAGAGTTTGACACCACGGTCCGTAAGTCGCGCAACGAGTACAAGAACTGGCTGGCCGCCGTGGGCGAGTGCGAACGCAAGGATAAGAAATTGATGGCTCGTCCGCATTCTCTAAAGGATTGTAGCTCAGATTCGCGGGAGAGCCAGCACTCGGCGGATGAGGGTTGCGCCAAGACACAGGAGGCAGCCGACACAGACAAAATGGGTGGCACCGAGCCCATCTCCACGCGTTCCAGCGATGAGGCCAAGGAAAGCGATCTGAAGACACCGCTCTCCTGCAAGAGCAAGCGCCGTGGCATGCGTCTGCGTCGACGTCGTCGCAAGATTGCCCAGTCGGACGACAGTTCCTGCTATGACAGCGAGAGCGACATGGACACCGACTTCTATAGCGACGAGGAGGACTACACAGATTTAAGCTCCAATTTCGATACCGACTTCAGTGACATTGATGCCGGTGAGCCCGATGAGATGCCAGCAGGTGAGTTAATAATGCCAAGAGGGAAAATGAAGTTAGCAAGTCGACTAGTGTATACCCTGTACAAAAATTTAAAAATAACCTAAGGCAGTCATTTTTTTCTTAGCCCCAATAGAAAATTCTTTCTTAAATAAGATTTCTATTTGTTGTCCAGTCGTGTTCAAATTTTGCATGCCTGATATAAGCGTTTCTCTTTAGGTGCATACCATTTCGTACTCTATATTTTATAATCCGTATCTAAGAAGCACGGGTAAAATAGTTAACGCCGAGTATGGTTAAGATATCTTGAAAAACATAAAGTTTTTCATACAGGAACCTTTTTTTCGACCCTTCGTTCCCATGGCAGCTATATGATATAGTGATCCGATATAAACAACGTTCTGCGTAAATGTAGGGAGCATAGTGAAAGCTATAAATGCCAAGTTTGGTCTAGATATCTAGAAAAAAAAAGTTTTTCATAGAACAACTTAAATTTCGACCTATCGTTCCTATGGCAGCTATATGATATAGTGGTCCTATCCAGCCGGTTCCGACATATGTTTGTACTGCGTGCAACAGAAAGAGGGATTTCTGCAAAGTTTAATGACGAATAGCTTTAAAACTGAGAGACTAGTTCGTATAGGAACAGACAGACGGACATGGCTATATCGACTCGGCTATTGATACTCAAGAATCAAGAATATATACACTTAATGGTCTCATATGCTTTATATACAAGATAAGTCGGGATATTTATTCATGTTGGCAAATCCGGGGAGTATAGGACAAATTTAAATTGGAGAAATACCAAATCGGCGTACGCTTCGGCAGTTAATGCTAATCGTACAACCCCGGATCGGAGAGGTCTTCTTCGGATTGTTACATACACCTGCACAACTTCATAATATCCATACTTGTTTGTTAGCACCTTCTAACGATACACTTTAAATGCCGCTTACAGCTGCCTATGTCAAAAAGGAGCGCTCAGCACGTCAGCCGGCCGTCGCCAATGTCTACTCAGACAGCGAGGATGTCGTCATTGAGGAGGAGCGTCTCATTTATCCCGAAGATCTGGAGCGTCGACCCAATTCGCAGGAGGCCGACTCGGAGGAATTGCTGCGCAGCTTCGAAGTGCTGCAGCTGAACTTTAAATGCGCCGAGGATACCAAAGCAGCTGCCGCTGAGTTGCCCACGGCCAACATGGTAGGCGGCACCACTGTGCCACCCGTCAGCATGACGGAGCCCCCAAAGAAACTTGTCTATCGCAACAAGTACACAAAGATTAATCCGAATATTATAATCGATTGCCTGCACAATGAGCCGACAATACGTGCCCTGAAGATGCTATTCGACTGGTTGCGCATTAATCCAGAGATCCTTATTGGCTGCTATCATTCCAATCCGGAGTTTGTGCACAAGATTATGAAGTTGTTGAACTACTGCAATATCGATGTATTCACCCGGAAGGTTTACTTCGAGCGGGAGCTGCTGACCACCAGCAATGTGCGCGAAGCTCTGGTCGAGCTGTTCGATGTGCGGGCCAATGTGCCTCTGACCGAGGATTTCGCCTTCAAGAACTTTGACATATTCCAGAGCACACAAATCACCCTAGACTGGGAGACTATAATCAGAGAGCGTGTTACCCCTCAGGAGGAGTCCATATTGCGCATCTTCAAGATGGTCGATTTTGGTTTCTTCATTTGCAAGCAGAAAAAATTCAATTATCGCTTCTGTGTGAAGACCCGTCGCTTCACCGAGAACCAGAAGAAAAAGCGCGAGGAGAAGAAGGGTGGGTGCTCGCGTCGACGCGAACGTCGTACGGCACCGAAGACCACCCGCAAGCGGAACGAGGGACGCACCCGTCGCTACTCGGATCGCAAGAATGGCATCGTACGGAAGAGCTATACCAGCAACGAGGAGAAGGACACCGTTGAGGAGTGCCGCAAGCTGCCACGCAAGGGCTACTTGCGCAATCGCAATGCGGAAAAGGCAGCTGCTGTTATAGCCAGCGCCACGGGAACCTCCGTAGCGGGTGGCACCTCGGCCTCTGCCTCGACCACCACGAACAGTGTCATCGAGAAGCTCAATTTGCAGTCGAGCAGCGGCGCCGATGAGGAACGTTCCGAGGCCAAAACTAAAAAATGCGAAATAATGGGCAAACTTTGGCTGCAGAATGAGGTGGAAACGCTGGAGGAAGAGCTGCGCGACAGCACCACCCATGTGGTCATGTCGCCATTTGTTGTCGTGGATGCCAAGGCCCTAACCGAATACAATGGCATTGTAAAATCGCTGGTCAGGACCAAAAAGTGCATTGTGCTTATACCCAATGCGGGTGAGTGACAGCTCATTGGTGGTGTCTCCATGGAGCAACAGCTAATCCTTGTTATTTATTTCTAGTGCTCAACGAGCTGGATGAGCTTAAGAAGCGCAGCGAGAATGTGCGCCATGTCATACGCTGGTTGGAACAGGAGTTCAAGCATGGCAATCGCCATCTGCGCGCACAGCGCGACAATGAGAGCCAGCCCCTGTCGCTGCTCAAGATATCACGCAAAATGGGTGAGTGAGGAGTGGGGCGGGAGTTTTATAAAGCTTGCAGTTTGTGTGCTAATTGGTTTTCTTATGTTCGAAATAGATCGCGATGCCTCGGTTTTTCTACAAATCGCCCAATTCTGCAACCATCTGGTGGCTAATCATGCCGATCCGCATGTCAGCGAGCTGCAAAAGAATGTGGTCACCTATTTGTCCGGCGATAATCTGCACGAGAAGAATCGCCAACAGCAGAATTTCAGCTACACGGGCATACTCGATTCGATACCCGTGCGCTATGCCCAAATCCAGAGCTTCTATGCCAAATTTAAGGCCAACAAAAAATGAGTGAGCCGTAGCGGACGCTAGGTGGCAAATGCATGGCAAACAGCAGATGCAAATTTATAAATGCAAGAGGATGTGCAAAGCGTGTGTTCACTGTACAACCACAACAAAACGACATGGAGTTCCAAGTTAACGAAAAGTTTCTCTCAGACGCGGCCCAGCGGGGGCAACAAAAACGGCAATCAAACCAGACCAACAAAAAAAAAAAAAAAAAAAAAAAAATTCAAAAAAAGAAAAAAAAACAAACAAAATAAACAGCAGCAGCAGCAGAAAGTTGTTAGCTTCTATGTTGTTGTTGTTGTTGATTATTGTTTGTTGTTTGTACATTGTTGTTGTTGCTTGCTTTAAAAGAAATCCAACCCAGCAGCAGCATCTAGAGCAGCAGCAGCAGCAGCAACAACAACCGCTGCAACAACTATTGTACAATGGGGTCCGGCTTGTGCGGCAGCATTGCGTGGAGTTTGCTTGTTGTGTTAGACAGAAAAAAAAAACAACCCAGAAAACTAAAAAAGAAAAAGAAATCTAAAATCAAATCGTTCACTTTCAACTCAAACGACGACGACTCTCAGCTAACGTATACGGATAAATGGCCAAGGATAAACAAAAGAAAAAAAAGAAAGATGAGAAAAAATCAAGCAAAAAAAATATCTAATGGAAAATTTTCATGATTCAAGCTTACAAAAAAAAAAAAACACAAAAAAGTAACCAAAAAAAGAAACATTTAAGAACCCTCCCGAGTTGAGCCAAAAGGCGTTTACGGACCTTACAAAACCCGGAGCCTCGTTTCGAGTGCGGCGCATCGTATGCATCCCCTCATTTAGCGCATATGGTAGAGCGCGATTCTAATTGAACCCCCCCTTCATGACCCATCAGCAACCCCTCCTCTTCACATCCAAAAAACCGGAGGCATTTACATACAATATATTCCTGTTTGGGAATATGTGGTAATTGAAGCTATGGTCAAGAAACCCTCCTTCACCTGCTCCGTAACTTTTGTTTTTAGTTTACCCCCAATCCAGTTTAACGTTCCCCATACGCGACGGAGTATTCAGTTTTTGCCCAAGCCTATCATAAACAATTTACAAACTATATAAAACATATATAACAATTAATCTTAAAATTGATAACATCAAATTTGTCGGACAAACGCGTGTAATACTGTAGTAAAAAAAAGAAGAGTATTAAGATCTATTTACGTACACGTATTTCAAACAATTTCTATCTACTTTAAAAACTTTCGAGAAAAAATAACTAAGTGTAATATCTTTTCATATGAAATAAAGTTTCCGACAAGTAAATATTTTTGCATTTTTTTGATGGATACAAATTATTATTGCAGCTATTTAAAAGTTTTGGTTTTAAGATTTTTAACTGTTGATTTTACATTTTCTTTGTTTTTTTCCAAAAATGACAAGACAAGAAAATCTGATTTGAAACAAAAAAAAAAAAAACTAAAAACTCCCATTTCCTCATGTGTTCAACAAAATATAGCCCTTGGCGAAAATTATATGCTCATAGTTCTTAAAACATCATTCAGCAAATAAAAAGAAAATAAATTCGGAATAATTTTTGATCTGATATGGAATCATTTTTAACTTGTGGTAAGTAATTATTTATAATGGAAAGTTAACGTTATAATATTTAAGACTAGTTTATAAAAACACAAATTGCCTGTAATGTTTAATCAATTTTTATTTTTTATTTCATGTTTTTGTATGGTTTATCTTTTTTGTGTTTCTTTGTGCCTGTTGCCGTTTTCATCCAATTAAATTGAGTTTTGTCACGTTTTGTTGTGTTTATGCTTTTAAGGTGGTACAAATAGCGTACATCATGAAGGGAGCAGAGGTACATACATATATATATATAAATATGAATATCATTTTTATAGAATTTTTTAACTATATTGTATAAGTAGTTTGAAATACTTTGAATTGTGTTTCCTACATTCATATATGTATTATATTTAAATATATATATGTAAATTTTCATTTCATTTCTAACTGCTCCGATTCGAATACAATCAATGCTCACATCTTTAATGAATATTTTTTAAGTTTTTTCTATATTGGAATTTTGTTAGCAAATATATTTTGTTTGGTTTTTTGCATAAACTACAAGTTAAGCGTGTTTTAACCGATTATCAAGCAATTTTAACTTTTGTATATATATATATATATATATATTTATAGAATTTGTTTATGTATAGATATAGTGTAATAAGTTGTTTTTGGCTTTAGTCTTAGATTCACTATGTTTATATACGTATATATTGTTGGTTTTGTTGATTTTTTTTCATCAGCTATTTTTTTAGGCATATTGTAATTTTGTATATGAGAGCCTTTTCTTGTTTTCCTAAAGTTAATAATTAATTAAAAAGCAAATTACATAATTACTTAATTTGTTGTTTTGCAAACGACATTAAAAAAAAACCTGCACACAATTTAAAAACAATAATAATAATAATTAATAATGATAATAGTTACAATACGCAAATAATAAATTAATTTTAAACTTGAGATTACAACAAGACTGTACAGATTGTGCCTATTATTAAGCGTACTTAAAAAGCAAAACAAAACTAAAAAACAATTGTAGATAAAAACTAATTATTCTGAATTTTCATACAAAGCGGGCCAGAGAAAATAATTAATTTGCACATTTCAATATTTTGTTTTTCTTTTTGTTTTAGAACTATAAAATTAAGCGTCATTCAAAACTTGCCCGATTACTTTTGCTATACACAGCGAGAAATTAACGCTTACTTTTTAAAACTAATTATTACGAACAAACAGATTAAACATATTTTATGCATTTTACAATTAATACAATTTAAAAAAAAAAAAAAACAAACTTGTTTTGAAGCTTATGAAATTCAACTATGCGTTTTCTTTTTTGTTTTTTTTCTTTTTTTAGATAACGCCCGAAACGGATTTCTCATAGGGTGTGCCTAGAGTATCGCGTCGTCGGGGCAACGTGCCGCTGGCTGTAAGCGGCGCCGATTCCGGACAGCCCAGACCCACGAGCAGCTCCACCAGAGCCGTTGTATCCTCCACATTGTACTGTGGTGCGGGTATGCCGCCATTAGCTGAGGGCGCTGGTGCCGGAGCTGGTGTGCCGGCGGCCAGTGCGGCGGCTGCCTTCATCGACTTGGCCGTGGCCAGGGATTGGGCGGCGCGTGCATAGGCCAAACAGGTGCGACCCTCGTGATCCGTGTGCTTGATGTTGGCGCCGTTCTGTAAAATTGTACGAAAAATTAATATGGAATCAATGGATAGATCCTTTTTCTGCTTAACTCACCCAGACGAGCAGCTGTGCTATGGCCAGATTGCCTATGGCACAGGCCAGCAGCAGCGGGGTGCGCACATCCCGTGCGCTCACATTGGCATTGGTCACCTCTGCCTGGCAATTGGCCAATATGGAGACAATCGACTTGATGTCCGCCCTGATGACCGCCTCAATGAGCTGCTGGCCCGGCGAGGCGGCATTTACATGATTGCCACTGCCCAAGGGCGTAAGAAACTCCTTGGCCTCGTACTTGCTGCGTATCCAGCGTTCCTTCTCCTCATGATTGGCCAACGCTGTGGGTTTGACACGTTGCCGCGTATTCGATTCCCACACAGAGTTTGCCAGGCTGTTGCCAATGGCCAGCATGACGCTCAGATGCGGCGCTCTGAAGTGCAGATAAACGAGAAATTAGTAAAAGTTTAAAGTTTCTTTGATTAAGTAATTAATACTTACGGCCAATCGTCGAGGCCCAGGGAGCGCACCTTGGATATGTGCGAGCCGAGATTCCGATGTATGCCCGAACATTCAATGCACATGAGCACGCCCAGATTGAGACTGGCCCATTCGGGATCTGAAAGGGGTACGAGAATCATAAATATTTTACATATGTTTTAGCTGAGTACCCCTAATGCTGATATCCAGCAACAATGCGGGCAATACTGCAGGAACTTTGGTCTAACTTAAGAGCAATTTCTTTAAATTTATTAAAAAAAAAAATTGTAATTGGTTTATTCGTGAATACCCCGATTATATTTATCGCTACCACAGTAGCGTGCGCCTAACCTATAATTTAGTAGTATTACGATTAATCAGGATCATTAACTCATGACTTCTTCTAAGAAAATGTTTAATAATCGCAATACCCCTCGCTATTATCGATAGTAATACTATGGATGGTATTTGGGATCACGCTTCAACAAAAAAAAAAGAAGCTAAAAACTTAATTGATACTAAAAATACTCTTTCTGTATGTATGTATGAAGAATCTGTCTATTCTATTACAGTTTGATTGGTACGAATAATAATACAACTTCTAAGACATAATTATAATACTGTCTGTTTTTAAAACTATCGTTAAGATCTTGTGATGGCACATCGGTCATTATTGATAACAATCGTCCAACTCCTCCATTCATTACCTTAAATTATGGGCAGAATCTAGTTATGACACTATCGATAGAGAGGAGTACTCGTTAAAGGGACACAACTAGCATTAACCTAAGTTGAAACTATCGCCAAAGTCTAGTGATGCAACTATCGATCGTTAAATGCCCCTAGTGGGATTCCTTGATTACTGTTGATACTAAACTAATCGCTCGAATCTAGTGACGATCGATAGTATCAGGAGCAAGGAGTATCTTTTAAGATCCACAATATATATGATTACTGAAGACCCCCATTGAGACTGTCATTAATTTCAACTCAAGCTATCGCCAAGTTCTAGTGATGGCACTATCGCTTAGCTAAACTATTTTTACACTCACTTGGCGCTCCGCAGTCGACACAGTGCCCATTGCCGGGCACCCGCTGCCTGATGGCCACCATAGCGGCCAGTTCAGTGCTGGTTGCCTGCTTCGTTTTGCTGCTCTCGATGCCCTGCAGGCTCTTGAAGATCTCCTGCTCGACGGCGGCGACCCATTCGTCGCGCTCCTCCGAGTTGGCGGCCTCAAAATGCCACTGCTTGGAGTCCAGCGAAACGATATAGAATTCGTAGCCATCATTGTCGTCCGCCTCGTTAGCCTTGACGCTGCTGCTCTTCATGCGGCGATGGCGCTTCTTAACGTTCGGCGTTTGGGCCTCCAGTTTGCTGGCGGGCGCCTCGCCGGCTGTAAAAGTCTGCGAATTGGAATTGGACATGGCAATGCCCTCGTCTCCACTCGTCTGCTGTGAACTATTTGATTTGAGAGGCTCAATGCCGCCCCCGCCACTGGCGCCTCCACCACCGCCGCCGCCGCTGGCAGCACCAGCGCCGAGCAGGGACAGCTTTTCGCTCAGCTTGCGCTGATTATCCTTGGCCAGCGTCAAGCAGCCGATGCCCTCACTGAGCGTGCCCTGCGTGCTCCGCTGTCCATTGGTCAGCAGCGAGCTGGTCAGCGCGCTGTTCGTAATTATGGACTTGGAGCCGCGTGGCTTCTGGCCGGGCACCTTGACCGTGACATATTGCAGCGGTATCTCTTTGCCGTGCACATCGTCCATGTAGTCGTGCAGCGAGGGATGATAGGTGAGCCGCCCATCGTCGCAGAGCGTCACGTACTTCTTTTTCCACTCCTTGTTCAGGGATTTGCTTGAGCGCTTGTACAGATAGCCCTGTTTGATGGGTATGGAGCGACCGCTGCCCAGTTCGCTGCTCTTTGGCTCCTTCTCATTCTTCTTGGAGGAGGAGGGTATGAAGAGATTCGAGCGCCGTCGACTTTTACGGCTTGTCGTGGGCGTGGATGTGGGCGTGGGTAGCTCCTTGCCAGGTGGCGGCGCCAAATCGCGCGGATCACGCAGCTGCACCTGGCTGCAGTCACCGGGCAGCGACAATTGCTGCTGCTGTTGTTGTTGTTGTGCCGCTGTACCCGGATTGTATTTGGTTATGTTGTTGTTCTCATTCGTGGAGCCGGCTGCGCTCGCCTGCAGTGACCAGAGCTTCTGCTCCGCCTGCGCAAAGTCGGCGCTCATGCGCAACGGCGGCAGCTGCTGCTGCTGCGCCCGCTGTCCATTTGTGGGCGGCGGCTGGAATGTGGCCAAGCCCAGTCGTGTGCCCTGCGGTGTGGTTGGCCGCGGCGGCTGCATCGCTGGCGGCAGCGGCAACCGCTGCGAGAGTATCTTCTGGCAGGCTACGTATTGGAAGGGAAAACGGAGTTTTATTGTTTGATTAAATGTGTATTCAGTTCGCTTATAACTCACCATCCTGAAAGACGCGCTCCACATTTAGGCCGTAGGTGGCGCAGGTCTCGTAGTAGGAGCAGCGCTTCAAATCGCTGGCCAATTTCCTGGCGCGTGTGTCATCGATAACACGCGGATTCCGCTCGCTGATGGCGTCTGTGTGGCAGAAGGGAGAAGCGCAAAATTGAGTTAGGGTGGGATAAGCAAGTGGTAAGAAGTTGTTATACAGAAATCAATTCAATTCCATCGATAAATCGGCTGGGAAAACTTTAACGAGATTCCGATAAATTTATCGAAATAAAAACTGACTGAAGTAGGCGTAAAATTCTACACGTTATCTATTCAAATAATTGATAAATAATTTAAATTGAAATTCTTAAACAAAATTCGAATATATTTATCGTAATGAGAAATAGGTTAATTTGCTTTGAAATTTTCTATCAAAATGTTGATTAATTTATCGAAGCAAATAAAGTGTGCGTAAATTATCCAAGAGTATTATAAATTATCTATACGAACTATTTTTATTGGGTTTTTTTTTATACTATTCAAAGAATTTTAATCTAAGACATAACCTTCTTCCCAGAAATAATTTTTTAACGCCAAGCGTTTCTTAATTGTTTATTAAATGTCGATAAGGTTTTGCACGTAAAACCTTTTTTAATATGTTCCGATATAATCGAAATTAATTGAAACTAATCGAAAGCAGATATTGTCCCAGTTGACGGAATGGAGCCCAAAGTATCTTTTGTGCTATCTCCAGGTTGAAATGTTTTTGATCTGAAGTAACTGTGTTATCATTTATAGAGTTATGAGCATATCATATAGAGATAGGCATAATACAATTATAAATTGTTTGTTTATAATAGAATGGTTTCCCTTCGATGGATGCATTTTGATTCGATTAAGTATAGAATTGAGCTTACCCTGTGTGCCGACCAATATCATGGGTATATCCTGTCCATTGCGAAAGTGCGCCATTTTGGTATAATAATTATAGACCGTATTGAAGCTGCCCTCGTTCTCCAGGCTAAACACAAAGATTACCGCATCCACCCAGCCAGCGAACTGAAAGAAAGAGTTAAATTAACGTAAGAAAGAGAAGCATGTGCAAAATATGAAAAAACAAAAAGGAAAATATTAAAAGTAAAGAACAAACAAAAAATGGAAGCGCAAAACTTTTGGCCGCGAGTCCTTGACTTTGTGTGCGAAGTAAACAAAAATTGCGGCGTCTGGCGACGGGCAGCGCACAAAAGGCGGAAGCGCGCCTAACAATGGATAACAACAGGACAGCGGGGAGGTGGAGAGCGGAGGTAAGGGTTAAGCAGTCTCAGAGTCTCGGGACACGCAACTCACACACACTTGAGCAAGTCGCTAATGAAGCACTTGAAGCCTTTGGCAGCAGTCCTTGCCGTGTGCTAAACATTCAATGATTTTCGTATGCCTCAAACACACACACAGCACACACACACACACACACACACTCGGCAGGCACTCGCAGGATAATGAACTTTTACATTGGCTTGTAAACAGGCGCTTTGTGTTTACTGCGCAGGATTCATGTGTCCTGCGCCGAATACACTATCGATTGTTTTGCCTCCGTTTTTAAAACTAAAACATTTGTTTTTAATATGCACTTCACACTCACAGCACAATTTTCAAAAATTCTATCAATTATTTATGCACATATATTTCACGAGCAGAGCGTGTGTCCTGTGCGACAGTTTGAGCTGCACTGCAGCGAGCTTTCAGCTGGAGGTTTTCAAAAAGGCCGCCCGCCAGCGATGCCAGTCGACAAACAACTGGCGTCAGGCTCGTCGCGCTCGTTGTCCTCTGGCCTCGTCCTGGCGTTGTCCTCGGTGGGTGTTTGCCCGCCCGCCCGCCTGGCCGCCTGCTCGACGCCTGCTTGGGTGGGTGGTTGCCGCCGTTTTTTTCTTGTTCTTTTTTATGATTTGTTGTGAAAATGTATGCGCAAGAGGAAACAGGAAAGCAAAAGAAGAGCAAGAAAAAAATGTTGCTGCAAATGCAACGGCGACACGGGAAACTCACACACACAGAGTTAGTGACAGCTCAGACACACACGCACACACACCAGGAGACATTTGCCTGACAACAAAACAATTCGAATTGGTGGGGTTGGGTTCGTGGGGTGGAGTTTGCTCACAGTCTGGCTCATGCAAATAGAAACAACAATGGAGCTCAACTTATATCTGGGTTAAGAACTATTCAAAGCATCTCAGCTCAGCCTGACAAATAGTAAAACTAAGAAAACCTGCTTACAATTTGCCTGAAGCCAAGCTAAAGCTCCATCTTAGGATGCACATTAATGACGGGGAAACAATTTTGCTTTAAGCTAAGCCCAAAACAATTTGAAAATGCATTTGGCTATTTGCAGAGAATATTTCAGTTCAACTATTAATTTTATTGCTTTCAATTATTTGAACAGGCTGCATTAAAGACTCCTGGCGCATACTTTAAAAGATCCCGTTAAGCAAATCTATCTGGAAAAGATCTTTCTAATTTGCAAGCAATTAAAAAGTGCATTTTGGAAAATAAATAAAAATATCTTGCAATCAAAATGTTTTGAATGAAACTGCTTTCTGCTTTCTCATAACAAAAATCGAATAGAAATATTGAGGACAAACAATAAGTATTTTAAATTTCAATTTAGCTTTGAAGTTTGGTTTGTTTAATCAACTTTCAATTTAAATTGAAATTCCATATATTTATATAAGTACCATAATATTTCATTATATCACTTAATTTTCTTGATGCTCAGCCTATTCTATTACTATGAACTTGTCTGTTCTAAGCGCCCCCCGTCCGAAAAAAAAAACAGAATAATATGTCGAATCGCAACTGTCGCTGAGTCGCATGCAATATTGTCGTCGCGTATATGGTAATGATATCCTGCTCCGTTTCGAAAAGAAAATAAAAACAAAGCGCGACTGAGTGGCGACGCGACGCGACGCGACGCGAGTGAGTGATTTCTTACGAAATGCACAATACCCTGTTAAAATAGATCAAATAAAAGAGAGTCCTGGCTGGGAGTTAGCAAATAGTTTTAACGAAGAAGTTGTTCATAATTCGACTTTCCACTTGAAGCAAACTCTGTAATTTTAAGTGAGATTGGAAATGCATATCCTTTAGCAAATACAGGGTATGCCACGGGCTAGCAATTGAAGCCTCTTGTTTTTGTCTGAGAGGGTGGCTGGCTGCTTCATGGGGTTGCTGTTAAATAGAGGGTTCTTTTTTTTTTTTTTTTGATGAAATATGGTTTATTATGTTGCATAAAGATGCGAATGACAGAAGTTAGTCAAGAAATGGACATTAAATTAGTTAAATTGCGGGAGAGAAACGATTTGTGCGACCAATTGAGAAAGAGAGGGTGCCAAAGAGATAGAGAGAGAGAGAGTGTGTATGGCAGTTTGACAGGCACTGTCTGGCAATGATTATGCAATTTTCGTTTAAAAGAGACAACTGAGGCTGCATTTTCAGAAACCAAGTGGTGCTCAAACTGTTGACGGCATGTCAAACTGTAAAGTGATATCACCGGCAAATAGTATTTACCACAAAAAATCAAGTTTGCACAACGATTATTGTGCATGTCAAACTGTTAGAAGATTGTCAAATTGTAAAATGTAAAGAAAAATAGCTCAAATATATATTTCTGACACGCAAATATAAGCAGTAAATGATTTTCTCAATCTTCTGTGCATGTCAAACGGTTGCAAGCCTTTCAAACTGTGCAAAATTTGAAAATGTGTGTCAATCACACGCTTGAATTGCAAATATTAACAACATATAATTACAAAAAAAAAAAACAGATAAAAAGAAATTAATTTGAATAAAAATTGCTAAACCCTAAAAATAGTCAATTGCTAAGCCCAGGGATATAACTGAGGTATTATGCGATTTTGAGGGTCACGTCGCGTGGCAGACACATTTTTTTTTTATATTTTTTTTTTTATAAAGAGCAACCCCTACACCCTACACCCAGCCTAGCCCAACCGCAAATAAAAAAAGAGAGCCTGTTGAAAAGCGAAAGCAGCTTAAAAATTATAATCCACACTTTCACCCTTTAAGCCGGAGGGGTCGTAGCGTATGCCAGCTCAGGGGGGAGGTCGCGCAATTTCGGTGAACAAATAAACAGGGTCTATAGAAACATTTTTTTTTTTCGCAAATATTGTGTCCCGAATGCGAATTTGAACGGAACAAAAGCTTCTCAAGCTGCGAATCAATGAGTCAAAAAAAAAAAAAATAAAATAATGCTCCAGGAATTCGAAACGATCCATAGAAATGTAAATAGCTCGCGGTGTGGTTCCCTTTGCAGTTAGGGGGGGGCAACTATACTATTAGCTTGAAAGATTGCAAAACTGCATTTTGGCACAGTTTACGTACGAGGGGGTTGCAAAGGGCGCTTGGGCTGGCTCAACTTTAACCTTTCCCTGAGGCTAAATGATATTGGCCAGTTGCCGCATCACGTAGCGTCCTAACGTGCAAAAAAGACCTTTAGCCAGACCCCAAGCAAAAAAAAAGTGTCGCAATGAAGCAAGACAGCTCTAATCTAGATTGCACGACCAGCAGACACCCTGTAATCAGCATGGCAAAGTTTAACTGTAAGCCCAAGCTGCGAGCTGTGAATTTTCCTCCAGCTGCGAGTATTAAATGTTATTCTTGAATAACTTTTCTGTTATCGGTCTTAAGCACATACCAAAAATCAAGAATAGTCAAGGAAGAAGGAGGCATTTAGGCTAAACTGTATAAACTTTATATATAGTTTTTAGTTTTTAGTTTAGTTCGTCCTTATCGACGCATTCTATTGCCTAAAAGTGCACTACTTCGCTATACTTTTATGTTTTCGGGTATAGGGTATTAAAAGTCTCACAAGATCAAAATGTTCAAACAGCAACTGGCTCCAGGCCAAAAACTACAGTTACCGATTGTTGCTTGTTGCCAAAGGTCGAAGTTCGATTGAGTGAGTCACAGGGCAAAGGGCCACTAGAAGAGACGGCGACAGACACAGCTCAGCTTTGCGGCCAGTTTTTCGCCATTGAATGTGAAAGCTGACAGAGCAGTCAGAAATTTTGCGAAGCTAGATAATAAAAACAACTTGATAATTGGCAAGAACTGCGACAAATGGAAAGTTCTGCAGTGCATTTGGCCAGAGTTGCCAGGCGGCGAAACTAAAGAGCTTATGCAGCCTAAAAGTTACAACTCTCTGCCGATATTTTGTATGCCAAGTAAAGAACAATTTAATTTAAAAAAAAAGCTCTTTATATTCATGACTGAATGCAGCTCAAAAACTAGTGTCCACCCACAGAGTTTTTTGCGCAGTGTAGGCAACTATAGGCCAAGCACTTTGCAAACGAGCTGCACAAAAACCCAAGAAAAGTTTCCTTCCTTCCTGTCTTTTTATCCGTCCCGTGTCTCAGTTAAGCCCAAGCTGACCTCAATTCAAATATTTACAAGATGATAAGGCTCAAATTTGTTTGTAGCACAAACTTTTCGAAACAACCCCCAAGACAAAACTACCCCTACCCCCCCACAAGCACACCTTCTTGGCCAATATATCATCTAAGAAATTTCATGTATACGGGATGTTAGATTGCGTTATTTTTTTGTTGGGGGTAAAGTCCCCCGCATACCTGCATTTCTGGCGCGCCGCCCTCATCGCGTATGAGCAGCAAATAGCTTTGTCCGTCGATGAAGACCTCCTTCTTGAAACGACCACCCTCGGGTGACTCTTCCTGCATATAGGAGCCGGTGAGATAGCGATGCACCAGCGCCGATTTGCCCGAATTTAGAGAGCCGACAATGCCCAGCCTCAAATCTGGCACCGAACGTGATATAGTCCATTCCTGGCTGTTCACAAAGGAATCTGTTGAGAAGCGAAAAGATGAAAAATCAAATAACCATTAGTAAGAAAATGTTATTGTTGTTGTCGACCGAAAACTAGTTCGACACGACGCTAATTAGCGAGGAACTCGTTTGCAACTCGTGACATCTTTTTGACCTACATGCAAGGGCGGCCAAAAAGTTTTTTGGTCTTTTTTTTTTTCCTCATTAGTAATTCTTCTTATGCAAATGCCAGAACTATAGCATATATATATATCATGTTTGTGCCTGGCTTTGATTGACAGCTTTAAAAAAAAAAGTTGAATAAATGTTGCAGCCACTTTTCAGAGTTTTCGGCAATTGTTTTGTGCCCCAAGGGTGCAAAAAAATGAGAAAAAGATGAACTGAGAGGAAGAAGAAACCTTTTAAATTGTCAGTTGCTTGAACACTTTTTTGATTTGAATTAGCTCAGCTCAGTTCGCAGAGCTTGCTCAATCAGAACTAAAGATCTACAGTCAGCTGGCAGCCGTCTACAGTCTGGCTTTTTGTGATTACAAAAGCTTTCAAGGTCAGACTTTATGTTGGCGGCAACAGTTGCCAGGCAATTTAACAGGGAACCTTTTCGCACTGGTAAGGTACCTGTATTAGTGAGCTTTTGCTGGCTTCACGCAGCGCGAGGCAGTGAAAGTGAGCTTTCGCTATGCGTGGGCTATGTCCGTATGAAAGCACGCCAAAGCTCAATCATGCGTGTGTATTGGTTAGCTTTTGCTAGCTGCACGCAGTAGGCCAGCTTTTATGTGCGTGAGCCGTGTCTGTGTAAAAGCTCGCCTACTCCAAGCTCAATTTGCATACGCAATTTATTGCGTACTTCTAAATGTTGAAACCAAGAGAGGGGAAAAAAAAGGAAATAAAAACAACCATAAAAGTGCCAAATACTCGTAAATCTTGGCAAGCCCAAAACATTAGACTACGAGTGCCACGATCAATTTCAGTCCGCCCAGGGAGGGGCAGATTTTGTTGTACGGCTTGGAAGGAGTGACAATAGAAGTGGTGATCCTTACGGTGCTGACCAGTTGATTTACTAGGCAGCAAGGACACGTGAAAATTGCTCTATTATGAGTTGTTAAGAGCTGGCTGAGTAAACAGTGAAGGGCTCTTCCGCACTCCAGACATGGATATGGACAGCCAAACCAAGCGCGTCTCAAGGGTGACACGTAGAAGAAACTTGTTCCAGTCGACAAGCAGTACATGGGCTTGTTAATGGACTAAGGACGAAGCACAGTGTGTACACGCTAACAAGTTCAACTGGTTTTTGTGCTTTGTTTTTGTTTTCTCTGAACCGCTCGCCTTGACCATAGCGCAAAATTACAAATTAAAACGAAATAAATATGCCTTTTGTTGTATAATGCAACCCAAAAAAAAAAAAGAATGTATAAGATGAAAATACAACAACAAGCTGCTTTGTGAAACTGATATGCCCTATAAATGTGTATGCATATAGAGTGGTAGAAAAAAAATTAGCGCGGTTTTGCAATTTGCATGGCCATAAAATGAAATGAAATCAAATCAAAAATGGCGGCAACTGGTTCTAAACATTAAAAAAGAAAACACACACACACACACCTAATTAATGGCTGCGATCAGCCTAAAGGCGCTTAAAACAGTTACGGAGCACAGAAGAAGAAGAAGAAAATAAACCGCCAGTTACAAATGCGTCTTTAAGTTTGACTAATGATGTCAAATGTCTGTGTCGGGCAGCCGATCGGCTTAGGCGTAAAGTTCAAACCGCGCCAGGGCCAGGAAAGGTGTTAAGCTAGGAAGAGCAAGGCAAAGAATTAGAATGGAAACCTTCCCCTTTAAGCCAACCAACTTGCTGGCAGAGATCAGCTCAGCTCTGATTTCCCATTGCTCGATCTTAACGATCGTAACTCAAACTCATGTCAAATGTCGCCATCGTTGTCAAAATGCCCAAACTAATTACGTATGCAAACGAGCCGCGACCCAAAAGACACATTTCTACATTAGTTTTTCTAGATTTCGGTTTTATTTCTCTCTCTCATTTGAAATCCCCTGCGAAAGGGAAAGGGTTGAGTTTTCTTTCCTACGGCTTGTTTGTTTACTGTTTACTATTTACCATACACAGCCCATTTACGCTTACAATTGCAGCTTGTTACACAAAGGCGATTCGGGGATTTGCGTCTTGATGTGGGTTAAGCATTTTAATTAGCGCACAATATGATGAAGTAAAAAAAGGAGGCATATTCATTTTATTTTCATAAAATATACGGAATTGTTGTGTAACTGTTATCGTCGTTATTGACCCCCCTGGCCCAAGTGCGGCGCTTGGTTTTATTACCGACAGCTGTAAGATACACGATTTTATCAACATTTGAAGCGTGCCATCAGTGAAGAATGTACACATAAATGTGCTGGCGCCCACCAAGGATCAGGTTCAGGAATGTCATAAATTATCCTTGACCATTTAGTGGTTTACAGTAGCCAACTATCAGCACGCAGCTTGGGTTTTACGAGGCGCCTTCAGCAAATGCAGCTTGGATTCGCTTTACCTATCAAAAAGCAAACACACTTTAGTAACTCGCTTATTGTTTGGTCAAACCCTAGGAAATTTGAGATGTGTGCTCAGAATGTGTTAAAAGTGCATTAGACAAGATAGTTAAATAAAATAAAAAGAAAAATGTGAAAAACGTATTTTAGCGACATTAAACTGGATACGAACACGATGAAAGTCAATGTCAGTTGGGTTTTTAATGGGCAATAACAACAAATGCAGCTTGCATGCTGTTAACATATAAAAAAAAACACACACACTATTCTAACTCGTCCTAAGTCTTGGATATTTGAGATGGGCAGAGAGAATATATAAAAAGAGTATATAAGCAAATGCGCTTCAATTAAGCTCAAATGACAAACGTGAAAAAGCTTTTAAACGACTTTTACCTTGCGTAGCATTTAAAATTCAGCCTTGGTCATTAACAAACCCAAATGCGAACGCATTTAACGCTAATTAGAGCCCACAAAATTGCATATGCATTGGCATTTCTATGATATATTGAAGTATTTCATGTTTTGATAGGTTTTGAGGCGCAAATAATGCGTTTTTAATAAGCCATAACCATAAGCCACATCAAATTTACTTTGATATGGGGCTAATTTCTTCTTCTTTATATATGGTATGTGTATGTGGACATAAATCACATGCAGGATTTGCATGAGCCTACGATAATATTTAGGTAGGCTGGCCGTGTCGACATTGCGGCACAGTGGACCGTCCAAGAAGAACAATAAATCAGGCCAGGAAGCGACCGCTGATGAGGCTGCTGCTGCTGCTGCTGCTGAATTTTGTTCTTTCTCTTGGGTTACCTTTACGTTGGCGTAGGACGCACATCTGCTCCAAAATCTGATTTACTTTCATTGTGTTTGCCCAGAGATCAGTGAAAAAAGATCAACGAAAACTGGTGGCAAAAGCAAGCAAAAATTGTTGTTGAAAGAATATTTCGTTTCTTCACTCCCAGCAGGCGAGACAAAGGCAAAGAAAATTAGCCAAAGCCCAAAGGAAAAAGTAGGCAAAAGGAGCAAAGGGCGATCGCACAAACAAGATTAAAACGGGGCAAACACAACACGTTGCAAGAGAGTAGGAGAAAGGCAAAACATAAATCGAAAACCAACTGCTGCTGTTAAACAGGGCATTGGAAATGTTAGTTTACAGCCAAATGTTGGGAGATTTTCTAATGCAGTTATTTTGAACATATTTACTTAAGACGGAAGTTCAGGACTTAAACCCATCACGCTCGTGTGTGTTGATAAAAGTAAACAGGGTTTAACTTGAAATTATGTCTATATAACTAGTTATATACATAAATAGAAGCTTTACCCAAACCATTTAGATGTTACTTCAAAACAAAAGATATTGTAAAGTATATATACTAAAGTATCTCATACATGACTCACAATCAAGTTAGGGCTCAGCTTAACAGTTACATTAAGTTATAATTACAAATAACAGACTGTTATAAGTCATATGTGACAGAAATAGTGGCAGAGGGGGGGCTGGGGGTTTTGGTGTGGCCTGCTCATCCAACTGTTGTCTACTTATTGGAAAAGTTCTGCACGAATGGCTGGCGACACTTCAAGGTTCGGTCACGCAATGCTCACAGCGTGTAGCTTCGGCTACCTCAAATGTATCTGACAGATACGTCACATGTCACGTGCAGGAATTTCATATGAATAATAAATATGCCGCAGCGCGGTCGGAGGTATTGCTGTTTTGAATATTTGCTATGACTTCATCAGCAAATTATTTTCGATACTATATATATATGTAATTTTTTTTTCAAGAAGTGGCAGTTGTAGCGTAGTTCAACTGACATAGAAGTTTACGCATCATTAGCAAAAATAAACAAACTTCTGAATGAATAAGTGATTAGTTTTGAATAGGCTGCGAGTGTGCGGGGGTGAATAACATGTGTTCTTTGGATTTGTGATAAATTGAATTGAAAATGCGTCGGAGCCAATTGCCTTTAATTTGTTGTCCAAACACACACGCACACGCACTCGCATCGCACACACATGCAGAGTTGAAGGTCGCGTTAAGTGGCTGAAGATCCTCGCGCTTGAACCCTAACACAGACCACGCCCTTTCGGCAAAAGGGGTTAATTCTCAAGATGCGCTGTCATTGGTGCATAAAGATTTATGGAGCTCAGGTAAAAGTCGTACGATTTATATCTAGATAAATTTATGCATAGAACTCGAAGGTCTTTTTGCGCGCACTTCCATTTTTGGCAAACTGGAAATACTAAAGAAACAACTTGAAAGGCGAAATAAAAACATAAATAAATTAGCTGCCCGAAAAATACGCATTAAACATTTAGTTTTTGTCTTTTTTCATTATCAGTCAACGCTGCGCGCACTCGCTTTCAACTTTTTCTGTGTGTTTGTGTGTGGATCGCAGCTCATTTATCATTAAATTCGAATGTTACAAACAAATCAAATAAAATAGGTAAATTGCGAAACACGCGCCTATA